CTCCAATCACTAAATTCAGCATTATTCAATAGATTAAATGGGCTACTTGAGTTACACCTTGACAACAATAATATAAACTCCATACCATTAACGTTATTTCATTCATTGACAAGACTAACATTCCTAAACATCGGTTACAATAAACTAACATCTTTATCTACCATTCATTTAACTGCATTGACACATCTACGCAAACTCTACCTTCATGGTAATGAATTGACATCTTTGCCGTATGACATATTCCACTCATTGACTGAATTGGAGAGATTATATCTACAATCAAACAAACTGCATTTTCTGGCAATACATAATCTTCCAAAGTTATCATTCTTGTACTTATCAGAAAATAGATTCACAGATATAACGGTTACACAAGACATCGCGGAAATAGGACTCAATATTTTCGGATTGCCAAATCTATATCACTTAGTCTTGAATAACAACGACATTGTACACATTCCCAGACAAGTTAAAGATTTCCCCAATTTGAGAAGCATAAATATTGATTCCAACAATATTACACATCTATCAGAGCTTCCACCAGGTCTACAGTATTTGTACCTCAGAAAGAACAAATTTTCACATTTACCTGACAGTATTATGAGTTTATCAAATCTCGGTTATCTGTATGTTGATAACAATGAACTACACCATTTACCAAGTTTTCAACATCTAACACAGTTAGAAATATTAGGACTTTCAGGCAACCCCTGGTCATGTGATTGTCAAATGGAAGAATTCATGAAATGGATATACACTAACACAGACATAAATGTACAACTTATCTGTCAATATCCGATAAATTATACAGGAATGAGCATCACAGATTTAACGTTGCCTGATCTTCAGTGTTTTGAGCCATACGTTATTAACACATTCAAATCGGTGTATGTTGGATTAAATGATTCCGTGACACTGACAGTTAATGTCAATGGTGCCCCTCCTCCACATATCCAGTGGTTCACTCCTAAAGGCATTCATGTTGATACTGAGAGTAACTCTCGATATCGTCTTGAACCAGATGGCAGTCTGTTTATCTCCTCTACGCAGGATGAGCAAGCTGGAATGTTTGTGTGTATTGCAGACAATTGGAAGGGTGTTGCCACAGCAGTACGATTTCTTGAAATACATACTCCGCCACGGACAATGACACCCTCTGCTCAAACGTTCTCCATTTATCCGTATACTGAAATGACCAGAACACCCATGGAATACAATCAAACGATTTCCACCAAGATATACTTGCCAGAGATCACGAACACTATTAGATCAAACAATGTACTCAGCACGGGTTACATTGTATCATTTATTATTGGCTTGGTGGTTGGAATTTTAACTATTGTTTTGATACTTTGTATACTGCGCCAATTTTGTTGCAAACGTAGCAAACCACTGAAAACCCCGGAAGAAAACATCGACCTTTCTACAGTAGCTAGAACGGAAGATGAATCGCATCCCCAATACACTGATCTGAACAATGAAGAGTGCAACACCTGCCAACAATTAACTACAACAAATAATATGACAGGACAATATGCTAATGCTAACATGTTGGTGACACACGTGATCAACAAAAATGATGGTGAACATATGGAGAACATTTATGATTCACTTGATGCATGATGTTGTCCAGAATAATTACATAATGTATATTTTATAGTCTACTATTCATTTAACTCATTGCTGTTTAATCTTTTAAAATTTAAATTTGAACAACAACGTATATTTTATCGACATG